CCCCAAAACCCCAAAACCCCTTTCTACTTAATTAATGTGAAATAGGGAGAATTAAGAATCTAAAATTTATCAAATTTTAAGTTATAAGTTTTGATTGAAGAAATTTAATTAAAAAAATGGAGATAAGTCCTAGAAAAAAGAAAAAGGTATCAAAATAGGAATTTGATTCGAGAGTAGATTCTGAATATACTACTGAGAATGCAAAGAAAAACTTTAGAGATGATGATTCAGAATATAAATTCAGTGAGAAGGATTAATTTGCTAATGAAGATGAAATATCTTAAAACCAGTAAGAAATTTAAGATTTTGATGATTATCTACTCGATAAAAGCGTTTGATAAGAAAGACAAATAACAATATCAGTTCCAACTCCAATATAAAATGAAAATATGAATCAGCATTAAGGTAATAAAGGGAATATCCAGGTCAGTAATTTCACTTAGCATCTCCAAAAAAATAAATCCTCTCTAAGTTAACCTCAGCTACTAACTCCTTAACAAGCTAATAGCCTTCTTAATTAATCATCTACAGCATAGCCTTAACAGCTATTGTCCTTTTTAAAATTGTAAAAATTACAATCATAACCTGCTCATTAATTGAGTATGAAACCTCTGGATATTAATTCTCTAACTATTTAGGATAGCTTGGATAAAGTATCCCAACATAGCTAATCTAACAATAACAAGAAGTAATTTATAGATCAAGAACTGTTGAATTTCCTCACATCCTATGAAAAACTTTCAGGTGAAAGGAAAGTGGCAATCATCTCAGATTTATTTTACGGGAAAGATAATGCAACAATGCAAGGAATTAAGATATACTAGACAAATAAGGGTCTTTTGGAGGAACTTAACAAAAATTAGGAATATAGAAAAGCTTTAGAATCTGCTTTGCCCACATTTTCTTATGAGGATATTATTAAATGCTTGAAATCAAGATATCCAGAGATATCATTCGATCAAAAACGAGAATTTGATGTGATTAAAGATCTTATCAGCATGTACAGAGATAAAAGAGACAATATTTAGGTTAATTTTAGCAAACTTACCCCATTAGAAATTAAAAGGAAAATTGAGGATAACAAAGAAACTATGGAACTCGAAGAATTGTTAGGACTATAATAATTGCTAAATATGGATTAAAAACTGAGAGATCTTAAGCTAAGATAGTAAAATTATGACTTTTTTGAAAAGAAAAATCGTTAGAGAGATTAAGCAGATAATGATCATTTAGAAAGAATCTAAGTTCACAAAAAGAGATTATAGATTATCAAGAAAAACAGCATAGCAGAATTATTTAAAACTGAAGCATAAAGTGAAAAGCAGGAGTAAATTAAAAGGTTATCATACTTGAATTCAACTAGAGATAATAATAATTACGGCAACAACTTTAGTGAATATATAAAACTATTTATGGTAAAATATCAGGATAAATGGGAATAGATTAAAAAGAAAAAAAGGGAACAAGAAATAAGAGATCAGCAATCTAAGTTAAGATAAAGTATGAAATCCCCTAGATCATCTTTAAAGATGCGAAACATCTAAAGTGTATTGCAAAAAAATCTAGAAGAAAGCTCATGTGATACAGATTTTGATAACTCAAGACTCCTATCTTAAAAATTAAAATAAGCTGAACCAAAGCCAATGAATTTCACTTAAACTCTTCAAGATTTAAATACAAAGAGATACAAAAAATCATCATCTGAATAACCATTAAGACCTGCATTAATTCAAGGGTCTATTCTGGAACTATTCCCAAAGTATGGCTTATTGTTAAACAAAAAGAAGTTGCCATTCTTTGAGCTTAATAAATTTTCCAAAGATATTAAAGCAGAGTAAATTGAAACTCACCAAAGACTAGTATTAGTAAACAAACAGAATGTTAAAAAAGGCTTAAAATTAAAAGAACTTGCTGAAACTGATGATCCAAATGTATTTTATAAGAATTACGGTAAATAGACTGAGAGAGGTAGAAATTCCAATAATACTGCTAATGAAACAATGAATAATAAGTCGATAATAAAGAGTAGGAGAGGATCGGTAAGGACTAAAGATAGTTATCCCTTTACAAGAGCTGAGTAAACTGTTGGAGGATACCAATCTACATTCTTTGAGGAGCTTACTAGAAGTAAATACGTGGGAAGTAAATATGAAATAATGAATAGAGGAGAAACTTCGAGGCCAATGACGTAGTAGTAATAAGGATTACTAAATCCTAGAGCATAAATTTAATTAGCTAGAAATTCTAGCGTGACTTCTAGAGTACTTAGTAATTTTAATTCTATACCCATAAAAATAAAAGAAAAGGACCTAGGGTCCTCACCAAAAAAGACAGATTAAAAATTTACTTAAGATGACAATCAAATAATGACGAAGAGAATATCACTTTTGGATTTGGGCAAAAGAAGCTTCTAAAAAGAGATGGTTCAAAATGTTATCAAAGATGTAATGAGCAAAAGAAAACCTTATTGACTACTGCACATAAATTTTACCTGAAAAATTAGAAATATTATTTTCAATAATTTAATTAACTTAAAATTAACTTTACATATTATTTTATTAATGGGTGGCTAATAAAGTACATAAGCTGGCTAAGCTATAGTCTCAGAAAATAATAATAAGTAACTTGCTATAATTGCCGCATCAACATTTTTTGTGACATCAATTGCACTTTAGTAACTTACATTGGATGATATTAAAATTCTTTAGTTTGGTTCATAGCTCTGGGTAGAAGGATAATCGTTCAGATGTGAAAAAGAAGAAAAAGAAAAAGAGAAATAATAATTACTCTATTTCTTAGCAAAGTCGTGTAGGAGAACATTACATACAGAGAAGTTACGCTAGCAGGAACAGAGAAGATACAGACTAATAAAACTATTCCCCTGATAATAGTGGTTATTAGAGAGAATTAAGATCTCATTCAATGCAAAGAAATAACCAAATGGCTTAGAGCTATCAGTAGCCTCAATTCGATAGAAGGACCAGCTAAAGAAGTTAATAGCCAAACTTGTATTAAAGCCATCAAAATTCTCATCACTAAAGCAACTAAGATTTCAGGATGGTAACAGGCAATAAAATTATTGAAAAGAGCAATATTAGGAAATACACTAATCAAGGAAGAGATATAAATAATAGTCGGTAGAGTTATAATAATTCTCAAGTGATAAGGTCAGAGGTAAAATTTATTCATTTGAAGATTTAGTAGATGTAAGACAGTCAAAGACACAGAGATTACTTTGAGAGTGTAGGAAGAGACAATACTCATATTAGCGGGAATCAAAAAGCACTATCAGTTCAATAGCTTGCTTTCGATAATTTAAGTGTTGCTACTTCAAATTAATACCTTGAGGATAGTGATGAAGAAGGCGATTGTACGCATTCAATTATTTAAATTTATTCTAGTCATTGAGTATGAGATAAAGCTAAAATTCGATGAAGATGACATCCTGAGTTACTAGACAATGATTTAAATTTTTGATAAAAGGTAGGTCATCAAAGGAATCAAGAAAATGAAGCATGAATTTAAAATTAGAAGAAGAAAACTTTTAGTTGACTAAAATATTGCTGGATATAAAAAGATTGTCTAATTATACAGAAAAGCAATAGAGTCTAAATTAGAGGATAATTTGAAACTAATAGCAAATAAGGTAAGAACTATAATTCAACTAAAATCTTTAGTTAAAATTAAATATTGAAACAATTGAAGCTGGTCAAGAAAAGCACTTGTTGAATATGGATTTCACATTTATATTAGGCATTAAAGATTTCTTAAAGTATTAGCCACCCAGCTGGCTAAAAGGGTAAAAAGCTCTCGATATCTATCAGGAGATCAAGGAGTTGACATAGAGAATGGCAGAGACTGAGTTTTAGTTCGATGGAAGGAAAATTGATCTATATGCTGATGATGAAGAGGCAGAAGTTCTTAAGTACAAAGCATTAGATACCATTTGCTTAAATTATCACATCGAGGAAGAATAACTAAAGCATGTATTGTATGTTAATTATATACTTCCTAACCAAGAAGAAGTAACTCCTCTTGGAAATCCTGGCCCATTTTAGAATCAAATGGTAGATTAAGAAGAAATGATTGAGGATAATTATCGCACATAAACTCGCTCATAAGGAAATAGAAATAGCGTAAAGCAAGGGAGATATTAATGAATGAATTTGATTTCATTTTATAGCAACAAATGATTGCATCTTCATTCTAGTAAATAAAATCGCAGATACTTTACTAAATTTCTTAATTTATGATAAAATTGTATCATTCTATATTATGCAGATAATCCTATAGGGGTTTTGGGGTTTTGGGGTTTTGGGG